GTTCACGTTTCCTTCCATGGCGCACATTTCCTGGCTTCTGCTCTGTGCCAAGCCCTGGAGACAAAGTGAAAACAAAGCTGAGCCCCCAGTGCCTCTGGCCTGCATTCAGGCAGACCCAAAACAAACCGAAGAGTAAAGCGGCCAACACGTGCCGTGAAAAGCAATGAGCGGGACAGGGAGGCAGATGCCAGTGGGGCCGCGTACACAGGAGGTGGGGTGGAGATCTCTGAGAAGGCACCCAAGTGGAGAAGGAGGTGAGGGAGGAGGCACACTTGCAAAGGCCCTGGGGCAGGAGGGGGCTGAGCGCACTGGAGGAACATCCGGGAGCCGAGCCTGGTGGAGCTGGAGGAAGCCGGGGGAAGCGTGGGAGGGAAGAAAAGCCAAGAGCCTGAGCAAGACCTGGGGGGCCTCATAAGCCAGGCCGAAGACTCAGGCCGTGATGCTGAATGTGGGGGCGGCCATGGGAGGATGCGTGCAGGGACCCAGGTAGGAGGGGAAGCAGGGGACCTGGGAGGGGCCGCTGCCTCCGTCCACCAGCTGGCGGGACTCAGGGGAGGGGTGAGTGGCAGTGCTGGCAGAAGGGTCGGCCGAGCCTGGGTGGAGGCAGAGGGTGTCACCTCAGCAGAGTTTGGGACAAAGCAACTGGAGGAAGGTGGCTGCTCATGGCCGAGACAGAAGCCTGCAGCAGCGAGGCAGAAGAGTGATGCCGGGGAGGACGCCAGGAATTCCCTTTGGACCTGTTACATGTTGGTGGACTTTTCAGCCCCTAAGGGAGGTGTCAGGTCGGGATTTGGAAGGGGGAGTTGAGGGTTTGTTGAGGCTGCTTGCGGTCCCCCAGGGAGGCTGCAGGACAGAGGGGAGGGCCACATGCTCAGCCCCAGGACTCCAGAAGGAGCAGCGGCGAGGAGGCAGGGGACCAAGCGTGGGCAGAGACCCAGGAGAAAAGGAGCCTGACCCCGCTGAGACAGAGGATGGTGAGAGCCCAACGGGAGGGGCACATTCAGAACGTCAGGGCAACACCTCACCCCAAACCTGCTCAGTGAAATGGAGCCACCCGTGGGACCAAGCCCAGCCCAGCACTTAGAGGCCGCACCTCAAAACAACCAGAGTTTCTCCAGGCCAAGGCAGGAGAGGTGAAAGGGTTGGGATTGAATCTCAGAGTCTAGGCAAGAGCTCTCTGTGCCAAGCCAGGTCCTGCCCAAAACCCTCGTGAAATCTGCCCCTCCACCTGCAGGAGAGGCGTCCGCACGGGCTGTGGCTAAGGCCAGGTGACTGCAGGCACTGTGAGCGTGCATGCCACTGAGCGTGAAAATACGTGGCCGGTGCTCATTTTCAGGTGCCCTCAGAGAGACAGTGCTGGCTTCAAAGGATCAAAATGTGGGGCGATCACATGTCAGACCCAATGGAGCAAGGCGCTGTGCAGGCGGAGATAGCTCTGTCTTGGACCTCACCTGCTGGGTTGGCTCCTGATGAGCCTGATTCTAGGAAGGCCTCCACGATTTCCAGTTGATCTGTTGTTCCCTGTGTAGAGCGGGTGCCCTCAGGGCAAAGAACCCTGATGCCATCTACTTCAGGTTCCTGCACGTCCTTCTGAACCATCTCCCGATGGCAGGTAAGCCCTGGGCCTGGGGTGATGGTGGGACCCACTGTCTGTCTGTGCCGGAGACACAGATGTGGCTTCTGTTTGTAAGTCCCTACTAAATGTTTCTTCCCCAGAGACTGCACCTGTCAGCCTCTTTCTTCTGCCTCTCAGCCTCCTCTGCTTAGGGGTAGGTTTGCACAGGCCTGCCCATTGTGGAACAAGTGTCAGTATTACTGTTTTACAGAGGAGGAAACTGAGGCTCAGAGGGCTGACTCCTGTGTCAGGTGAAGGGCACCGGGCATGTATGTGACAGAGGAAGGGTCTCAGGTCCACATGGCTCCCAGCACCCAGGAGTGTCTCCGACACTCGTGTTGGAGACAAAGGCAGGACCCCAGCTCTCAGCCTGCTTGCTTTTCACATGGGGAGAGCAGAGATGAGGCCAGACAGACTTCAGCTGCTCTGGCTCTGGGACTGGCCCTGCTGCCTCCGTCTCCTCCTAGAGCAGGAATTTGCCATGGAGGGCTCCGCTGCTTAATACCACCACCCGTTTTGGGAAAAATTCTGGGAAGGAATTCTGCACACCTGCACCAGCCCCTGAGCACTGGGTGCGTGCCGGAGACAGTGCCCGGCGGAACAATCCCATGTGTCCTCACTAGGACACCATGAGGAGGTGGGTGGCCACCCTCCAGAAACTGTGGACATGGAGGCACGTCTGGGGGTAGGGGCTCCTTGCCAGAACCCTGGTGAGAGGTGGAGCAGGGCCCAGGCAACCTCAGAGCACAGGTGGCTCTCAGCACCAGCACAGCCCGTGCTGCACCAGCTACAGCGGGCAGGGGCAGGGAGCCCCAGGGAAGGGCCGATGGGGGGGGGTGTGATCCCATCCTCTGCCCCCTGCTGTGATGCTGCCAGGCAGTGGGTGGATAGGACAAGGCCCACGGACTTGCTGTGGGACCTGCTGACACTCTCCCAGGACCCCAAAGCTGGCTGGGGAGCCAGGAAAAGGACGACTTCTGAGCCTGGCTTTGCTGGACATGAAATGGCCAGCCTTGACCCTGGGGCAGAGAAGATGAACCGCAGGGATCCCGTTCCACGTGGGCAGTGAGTGAGTGCTCCCAGATCCCCGGGAGTGTGCGCGGCCACCACCTTCTTAGAGGGCCCCTGGCCTTCACGTGTGTTTTATGAGGGTGGCCGTGATGGCCACGCGGGGCCAGGGATCAAAAGGACTCATAAAGTTTGTCTGATGATTTGGGACTCGGAGCGCTTGCGGACACATTCATGGGCATTTTATGCAGGAGGGAACTGTTAAGCTGGGAAGCTGAAAGAGACAGATCACGGGAAAATTAAATGTAGGGTTTAACTGAGAAATAATCATTTTCTATGAAAGATAATGACTTCTCTGGAGGCTGGTATCAAGATTTATTGGCCCAAGCCGTGATGGCAGATCAGAGCCCAGGCAAGTATGTCGGGAGACCTTGAAGGGGAGGAACCTTGGATTGCCATCTCGCCAGGTCAATATATCTGAATGCCAAAGCCCTCCACTCCGTCCGCATCGTGCTGGGAGATTAACTGCGTTTACACCCCAGGTGGAGCGGCTTTTTCTTCTGCAGTCAGAGTAACCTGAGGGCTCTGGCCCCCTCCAGCTCCACCGTCCTCGGAAGCCCCAGCCTGCGTTTTCCTCCATTCCTCACGAACAGCCCCCTTCAAGGGCACCTACCATCGGCCAGTGACAGGAGGCACCTGCCAGGCTCCCAGGGAAAGTCACTCTGGTTCCGGCTGTGAGTGCAGCCACCATCACATCACACCCCACGTCAGCACCAGCCATGTGGCAGGGACCCGGGGAGCCATCGGATTCACCGCAAATCTGCGGGGCGTTGGTGGGGGAGATTTATTGCCATGCCAGATGTATTCGTGTGAAATACATCATTCCTCCCACACAGCCTCATAAATCCAAAAGGGTCAGCCATAAATGGGAAAAAATAAAAAATCACAGACTAATTCGTTCAGAAGACTAGAAGGGAATCGATGCAAAAACTGTAGCTCGGTTCAAAGTTTGTTCTGAAATGGTGAGCACGGAGCAGAACACATTCCCCACTGGGTCCAGATCTCCCTGTGCGCTCGGGTGGGCTGGGCTGGGGAGCATCCACGCAAAATCGCGTGCATGGCCTGAGCTGGGTCCCCATGCACGCTCTGAATGGGGGCCCTGACACAGGCCGGCTGTGGTGAAGGCACCTGGGGCTGAGCGGCTGCCCTGGAGCTGGGGGAGGCAGGCTGGGCCCAGCTGCTGCCCAGCGAGGGATGTCTGGACGGAGGCTCCTGCCTCGAAGCAGGGGTCCCAAAGGGGATCTAGGGGGCCTGGGGACTCTCGCAGAGCTCTGGGGTAGAGGGCCCTGGTAGCTCCATGTGTCCTGTGACCTGGCGCCTTGGGCTTTGCCAGGCCAGCTTTGTGATGCCTCCCACTCAGACTGCATACATGAAGCCTGGAGTGCGCTCCTCTCTTAAAGTGGAGGCAGCCTGAGGCCCTGGACCGGAGAAGCCACATCCTGGAGGGATCAGTGCTGGGACACAGATGTCCCTAAGGCCAACATGCTGCTCATCAACTCCCCATTCAAGGAGAGACCCTCACATTCAAAAGGATCCCAGAGAAATTGCAGGGGTCCCAGCGAATCCCCTGGAAGTGCATGACATGAGGAGAAATCGGATGCCCTGGACTTCCAGGTACAGCGAGTCCTAAACACGCTCAGGAAGAGACTTTGGGCCACTGATCCCCAGAGGACAAGCCTGGTTCGGGCTGCAGGGGAAATGGCCTCGGGCCCTTGAGCTGCCACTGCTTCTGGTCCGTTCAGCTCAGGTGTGAGACACCCGCGGCAGTCCCCCCAGCTACACATCATCTGCCAGCAGTGGGGGGCGTGTATGGCGGGGGCGCCTCCAAAGTCAAAGCAGGCAGATCCCCCAACTATCTTCTAAGCAGGGCTCAGGGGTGCGAGTCAGCACCAGCTGGGCCCACCCCAGCTCCTCTTGGCCCCGAATGCTCTCTCTTCCTCTCGTCCTTCACAGATCTCCACGACCCCCCTCCCAGCAAAGGTGCTGCTCCGCCCCATCCCCGCTCTGGCTCCAGAGGACCCTGACTGTTCTCGCCTCTGGGCTGCGATGCCTTTTCTGGGACGCTTCTTCATGGCTTTGATGTGACAGAGTGGGTGTGCAGTCTGGGCCTGGCTTCAGGTGACCGTCCGCACAGCCAGCTGCCCACCGGTCCACCCTGGTAAGGTCCAGGTGACCGTCCCGCACAGCCAGCTGCCTGGCCGGTCCACTCTGGGAAGGTCCAGGCATCCAGGTTCCCACGTGCACACGCATTTGCCACACACAGCTCACAACAACCTTAAAGACACCTGTGCATCTCTGTAGCTCCAGAAAACACTCCCTAAGGGCTGCCCCGGGGGGCCAGTGTGGAGAGAGCTGCTAAGGACTCGAGTAGGACCCTCCTGGTGAGCTGCGTGGAGACCAAGTCCACCACCTGATCTCTCGCCCCACCTGGGAGATGGGCACGGCAGCCTGAATCTGTCTCCAGGAGCGACTCGCTGCCCAATGAGCCCCTGGGCCCAAGCAGGTCCTCTAGCTGGCAGCTCAGGCCTCCCTCAGTGTCCTTGCCAGCATGCTCAAGGGACCCAGCCTGTCCTTGGGCAGCCAAGGGCACTTGGCCTGGGGGAGAGGCTGCTGGAGCTGCTGGCTGGGGGAATGGCATGGCTGCCTGTGTGGGTGTGGCTGCCTTCCTGCTCTTACCCAGCATTTCTTTGGGGTCTCGGCCCCTGGTGGGGGTCTCGGCCAAGCAGGCTTGGTTGCCCAGGGACCCCACAGCAGATGAAGCAGTGTCTAGGAGCAGCTCATCCAGACCCACCGAGAGCTGCCCTGACCCTCCCCGGCTCTCTGCACACCCGACGCTCTGAACTGCCTCCCAGGGCTCTCCCCGACTGCCCGAGACCTCCTCCAAGGCCACATCAGCCCAGAACCCTGTGCCCAAAGCAGGATCCTGCTCCCCCAAGGAACTGAGGAGCATCATGTCTGCGTTGCCAGCCGCCAGCATCCCTGACAGACCCTCCCTGGCCACAGAGGCCACTCTGGATAGAGCTGTGAGCTGCACTGGTGGCTCTGGGAGCCCTCCAGGGCCTCTGCCTGACCCTGCACTCGAGGGAGACCCTGGCCAGCCGGCAGGTTCAGGCCACTGGCTGCCTCCGGCCTCATCTCCTGCTACAGAACTAGACCTTTTCAACTGGTCCTCAAGGCTTCCACCCAGTCTAGCTGCTCCTGGGCAGAGCCCCGACTCCTGGGGTGCCTCAGAACCCTGGGGCCCGGGGAACAGGGCCTCCAGCAGACTCTCCTCAGACAAGGAGGATACGTCCTGGGTGGTGACAGCGGTGTCCTCCCCAAGGGGGCCCAGAGGCAGGGAAGGGAAGGTATCTGAGCCTGGGGTAGTAGTGTCTTCGGCGTCACTCTGTGCGTGGGGGGTGGGAAGGGGTGGGGGCAGCGGGGCCTCCCTGTGGATGGAGGACGGGAGGTCGGCACTGCTGTAGGACAGCACCTCGTCCACGGGAGACAGGATCTCAGTCAGGACGCCGCCGGCAAGTGGGGGACAGGCTTCCTCCAGGACAGCAGGGGCTCCATTCCCGCCAGGCCCAGGTGCCCGGCTCTCAGCTGCTGGGGGTGCCAGCCTGCCAGGGTCCCCAGGAGGAGCCTGCAGGGTCACCAGGGTCTTGGGCTCTGGCGTGAGGTGTGGGGGTTTGCTCTTGGTGGATGGACTTGGCTCAGCATCCCGAGTCCCCTCCCGGCGGCTGGAAGTCTCTCCTCCTCTGCCGAAATCTGCCCCTTCACTTGCAGAGGTCCCCAAAGGAAAGGCCGGCAGTGAGTCTGAGTCACCAGGGGAAGGGATTTGGGGCGGGAACACCACACAGGCAGCCTCAGGGGGTGCCTGCTGGGCTTCTCCTGTGTCCAACACCCCTGTCAGGCTCTTGCCGGTCCCAGAAGCTTCCTGCATCTTCTGGGACTGTGTGGAGGGAAGAGCCATCTGGGGCTCCATGCCGCTTTCGGGGTCTGATGAGCCACCTGCAGGCAGGGAGCTCACCGAGGCTGGGTTGGCACCGGGACAGGGTTCCGGCAGGTCCTCCTCGCTGCCCTTGTCCCATGCTTTGCTGGAGGCCTCTGACAGTTCTGACCCTGACCTTGGAAAGGGGACATCTGGGAAAGGCAGCAGCTGGCCCACCTCCAGGCTTTGCTCAGGCTCTGAATCTCCTGCCATGGCTGTGTCCACGAAGCAGCCCTGCAGGGGTCGGGCCCCACTGCCCCGAGGCCTCTGCCAGGTCAGCAGTCCTCCACTCCCAGGAATGCTGCCTGGCCAAGGCTCACCCCAGTTTGTCCCCCAGGACAAAGGTGACGCCACTTCCTCCAAGGAGCGTCGGGGAGAGAGTTCCCCAGGCCAGCTGAGACCTTCCTCTGGGGAGTCTTCAGCTTCCAAGCTGGGAAGAGAGTTGGAGCTGTCAGAAAGCTGGATCAGGGTGGCCGCTGCTTTCTGGAACTCCCAGACAAAGGGACAGGACAGGCTCCTGACAGAGCCTGCTGGGGAGGTGTAGGACGACTCCAGGGCTTCTTCTGAAGGCCCAGGGCAGGTTCCGGAAGCAGACTCAGAGCCCAGCACCCAGGAGGAGAAGGCGGGGAGCAGGGGACTGCCTGGGAGCAGGATGGGGGGCGCCGACTCCTCAGGAGCCACAGGAGCTGCCGAGAGAGGGGACGATCAGCAGTTGTCACCCGCTGCACCCTGGACCCCCCGCATATCCCACAGTCCCCTAAGCCAGGAGATCAGAACAGAAAACACCCTGGTTTTCACCAGGGTGAAACAGGAAAAGCGACTAAAGGTGCCAGTGTCTTCAACCCTTCTGATTCCAACACAGCGGTTCACCACGCCCACCCCCACCCCCACCCACATGCAATGAGTCATGTCCAGGGGCCTTGCCGAGCCTCGAGCCTCGGGGACCCGGCCTTGCAGCACCGCAGAGGTGGTTCAAGGACTGACTGGCTGACTTCGCCTTGTTTTGTTTTAATTCCAGATGTGGGTGGATCCCGACAGAGGATCCCTAGTTGTCATTCACCTCCCCTGACACCCCTGTGATGGGGAGGTGTGTGGGCGAGCCCCCAGCCGGGCAGTGGGGAAGGAAGGCAGGGGCTGCGTGCTGTGGGGAGAAACCAGCTCTGACATAGAAATGGCCTTGGGGGATCCTTAGTGGGGACTCGATGGCTGAGGGAGGGGTTGGGGGCCGAGGCATCACCTGGGGAGACAGCTGCCTGGGCAGCTTCCAGCCCAACGGAGGAGATGCCGGGGACCTCCTGCTGACAGGCCTCTGTCCTGTAAACACATTCGTGGAGAACCATGAGGGATCCCGGTCCTCCCAGCCCCTTCCCCAGGCCCCACTGTCAGGGACCCTGCCAGGCTCAGTCCACACCCCACACCCGAAAAACACCCCAGCCATCCTCTGCCACCACCTGAGGGGACCCTGAGGGGTATAGAGTCTCAGGACCACCGGATCAGGTGGCAGAGAGGGGTGGGGCTGCCACTCCCAGGGGGTTCCAGGGCTCCTCTGCTGACCTCAGGCCGATTCATGGGTGATATCTTTATTTCCAAAAGTGGGTCAGACCCAGGAGGGCTCAGGGTGAGTGCACAGCTGTGCCCCGGCAGCACAGGGGTGCCAGTAGAGAGTGAGGCCCCGCAGCAGGAGGACAGGCAGTGCTGGCCGAACCCGTCTCTGTGCCTCAGGCTCCACCCCTGCCCCAGGTCCCGCCAGCTCCAGGGACCCCAGCCCCACACCTCTGCTCTCCCGATCGCCAGCCCTCAGTTTCCTGGAACTCCTCCACGGGGCTCTCGGCAAAATCCAGAGCCCGTTCCCAGGCTTCTTGGCTCATGCTGCCCTCAGCCACCTGCTGGAGACACGCAGGAGAAAGGACACAGTCGGGGTACGGCCTCTGTCTGTCCACCTCCCGTAGCTGGATGCAGCCCCTGTGCTTCCAGCAACCACGAGTGGCTAAGGAACAAAGACCACCCTGAAAGAGGGCCATGGAGACCCCCACTCGCCAGATCCCCCCCACCCTCAGTGGGCCCTGCCGCCATGGAAAGAAGTCTGTTTTTCTGCCCAGGTGTTGGGTCTTAGGGTGAGCCCAGAGAAGTGGCAAACCTCAGCACTGAAGGTAGCTGCTGGGAAAGGGCCCTGAGGCACTCACAGGACAGACCAGGAGACCCCCAGGGCCACAGCAAGGCGGACCCCACTCAGCCCACAGGAAGTGCACGGCGACACCCGACTCACACTGGCTTCCTGGGGGCCACAAGGACCCTCTCTGTCCCCAGAGCGACGGCTGCGTTCTCTGAAGCTCCTCACATGGCTGTCTGTCGGAGCCAGGGGCTTCCCTGCTAAGGAAGGGCTGGGCTTGGTCTGAGGGTCTCCTGCAGTCCAAAGGGACTGTCAGCACTGGTGGGGACAGAAGCAGGGGGCAGACAGAGCGGCTCCCAGGAACTCCGAAGCCACATGAAAACAAATCTTAAAATCCACAGTGGACGCACAGCTTTCTGCAGGGCTTGGTTAGCATGAGGGTGAAACCTACACGGTAGTTTGCTCCTAAAGTGACCCTGTCATTGGATGGTCAGTGATCTGAAGTCCCAGCCAACAGCTTAGAGAAAAGTCGTTTTGCAGTTAGGGGCCTCTTTCCCTCCCTGGGGGAAACCTTTGCTAGAGCTTGTCCTTCCCCCTCGGTGCCATCCAAAGAGACTCTGACACGAGGCAGGGGTGGCGCAGAGGGCTGTGGGGACAGGCCTCGGACACCCCAAGGTCACCAGTGCATGGCTGGGGGATCGCAAAGGGGGAAAATGGGGCAGGTGGGGCTGCAGCAGAGCCCTTCCCAGGAGCACTGGGCCTTCCCCGCATTTCACCTCCGTCTCCCTAGATTTTCGTTCTGTGCTGGGCCTCGGCAGGGTCAGGGGACTCTGAGGGCCAAGGCCACCTGGCTGAGGGACCCAGAGTTGTGAGGCTAAAGCAGAAGGGGGTGGAAGTTTTATCAATGGGAACACCTGCCCTCTTGCCCATGGCCCTGAGCTACCCCAGTGACACAATGGGGCCCCTGAGAGTGCAGTCTTCCGATCAGAGAGTGGCCGGCACTGCAGCCAGGCAGACCCAGGGCAAGCCCCAGGCCACCTGAGAACATAGCTCAGGCTGCAGGGTGGGCATGATGAGCAAGTGAATCCAGAGGCCATGAGCACCCATGGTGGCTGCAGGTGCCTGGCTGGTCCCCGGAATGGTGAGAGCTGGTTCACATGGCCATGTGGTGCGGGAGGCTTCGGGCTGAGCAAGCTTCACCATGACTGCAGAAGCCTGAACCGCAGCACGCCCAGGGGCGAGGCGGGACGCGGGGGAGGCCTCCAAGGAACAAGCTCTGTATTCACTCCGCCTCCCAGCGCCACTGACCTCTCCAGGGCCCTCCCCACCACCAGCCACGCTCTCCTGGGCAACCCGCAAGTGTTTCTAATCTCTTCCCATCTCAACCTGTCTGTCCTGAGGTTTGCTCTCCCTGGCCCCGACTGCAGGGAACCCCCAGTCTGGCAGACCCTCAGGTATGAATGGTCTCCCTGCTTCCAAGGGTGGACACTGGGTGGGGACCGTCTGAATTTGGCACCCGTGGCTGGTCAGGGAGCTCCGAGGTGGTATTGCAGGCTGCGAGACCCCCCACTGTTCAGCCGGTGGCTACCAGGGCTCCCCCACACCGAGAGCGCATCTCCTCCCGCCCAACTTGCAAATGGGGGACGTGGCTCTCAGGGAGGCCCCGGGCCAAGTGTAAGGTTCAAAAAGAGAAAAATGTAATCGGTGCAAAGACCTCTATCCACAGAAGACGCTCGGGTAATGCTGGCTTCCAAATGCTTAAAAATCTGCCCCAGATTAATGAAGTCGCAGCTAAAACAACCCCCGCCAGTTATGACTTTTAATTTCCCCAGAAAAGCCACTGCATCACCTCCGGTAGGAGATGGAGCCGGCCACTCTTCTTGCCGTGAAGGGGTCCAAGGCCAGGGTGGCGGGCCACCAGGGCCACTCTTGTTCGCTTTTCGTCCTTGTCCGGCGGCTGAGCTCCAGCCTCGGACGGGATCCACCAGAAGTGGGCGGAGCGTCCGGTGCTCCGGAGGCCCACATGCTGATTCCAGGGTGCTTACCTGGCAGCAGCTCCTTCGCCTCCCACGGCCTGCGCTGAGCTGTGGGGAGGCACCCCTCCGCCTCGTTGGCCTCCATGGTGAGACAGGGGGGTGGACATGGCACAGGGCCCTGGGGGGAGGGCACCAAGGGCCAGGGATGGACGGAGATGTTTGGGGACAGATGGGGACAGACTGGGGTTCATAGGACCGACGGGGCGGACAGGGACAGATGGGGACGGACAGGGACCTACTGCAGGAACCAAGGACGGGACATGGGAACCAAGGGCCCCCAACCAAGATCAAGTCGCCGATTGGCAGAATGGTGGCGAGGAGGGGTGGTCCCTGAAACAGGCGGTGCTGAGGAAAGGGCTTCCAGGGATTGCACGTACAGGAAAGGCTGGGCCCAGCTGCCGTCTGTCAGGGGGGTTCTCGTGCTGCAGGCCTGGCAGAGGGACCCGAGGCTGCTCCCCAGGCTCTGAAAGACACAGTCCCGGGAATCCCAGCAGTGACCACAGACTGAGGCCAGGAAGGGCAGGGATGAGTCGGGGGCAAATGAGCTGTCAGGCGGGGGCTGCCTGTGTGGGGAGTGGGGAGGGTGTCGCCACATGCTGCCCTGTTCCAGGCAGGATGGATGGCAAACAAGCTAACCTTGAGGGAGACGGTGATGGCCTGGGGACATCCGGCCCTCTGCCTTGCCCTGTCCCCTGCCTGGAGGCCCGAGGGTCTGCTCAGCCCCAGGCCTGGAAAAGGTGGCCTCTGAGACCCTCGAATCTTCCTTTTGCCCCAGGCAGAGGCTCTCTGCCAGCCTGTGTTTCTGGGGACTGCCTGACAACAGTCTGAGGCCTGCACGTGGCCCAGGGGCCCCATCGGGAGCCGTTCCCCGAGCAGAACCTGTCTGGGTGGTTTCTGGCTGTTGCACGCACCCGCTCTGTATCTTGGGAATGCTGGCTGCCTGTGCACCGGCGTGGCCCACTGTGTGCTCTGCTGCACTGGGACGCAGAGACGGGGAGGCCAGGGGAGGCCCAGTCACACTCGAGGTGCAGCAGGCCAGAACACAGGCCTGCCCGACCCTGAGCCTGATGCCACCCCACATCGCCCAGGGCCCACTGAATACGAGGCGCTCTGTCCCTGGGGGGTCACCACGCTGCTCTGTTACCTTGGCTGACGTGGTTGCCACTCCCCACCAGCGGGCCCCAGGGGTCCAGTGTGTCCTCTCCCCACGCCAACCTCGGAGGCTGCTGGTGACCATCCGTGTGGGAGGTTGTCTGGGGCACCATCACATCCTGGGGCTGTTCTGCGGGAGGGCTGCACGGCCGTGCCAGTGGAGGTGACTGCCTGCCCCGCTGCCCCTTCCCAGGTGTTCAGCCCTGGCCACAACCTCCACCAGCACCCCGTCCCTGGGAACAACCTCACATCACATCCAGGGGTGGCCTTGGTCAGTGGCCAATCAGAAGACAGGATTCTGACCCCCTTGCCGGGGCAAGGTAGGTGGGAGAGGCCTGTGGCTCCCCAGCGTGTGGCCCTTGAGGCTTCTGCCTGGAGACGGACCGTCCCTCCCAGGTGCACAGGCTGGGCTCCAGGAAGCCCGGCGCTGCCCCCAGACTGAGCTGGCCTCCAGGCCCCCCGTCTGGTCTGCCCCTGCCTGGGTCACACTGCTGGGGTGGCAAGGAGCCTCCCTGCTCTCAGGTGCCGGCCCCACGACACGACATGTGCCTCCCTTTCTTCTCCAGGCACTGGTCACACCTGGGCACAGCTCACTGCCCCACCCAAGGGTGCCCCTGAGCATTTCCCCCAGATTCACAGGCAGTCAGGGGTGGGCAGAAGGTGCTGGTTCAGACGCGGGCCCTAAGGGCCTGGAAGCCCTGTCTCCCTAGGTAGATGGCTGAGGGGCTGAAGCCCGCACTCTCACTGGGGCAGGACCCAGAGGGCCCCTCAGCACCAGTGTGTGCCCCATGAAGGCTCTGGAGGGAGACGGGGCAGTGCCCCCAGGGCCCACCACCCAGCCCCCAAAGCAGAGAAAGGCACTGTGCTCCGGGAGCTGCCCCAGAAACAGAAGAGGCTGAATAAAAATGGGAACAGGAGCCCCTGACCCCTTCTAAAGGAGTCATTCCCCTCCTCGCACCCTCCCCGGCACACGTGTCTCAGTCAAGGACCCCGAGGCAGCTCAATCTGCTCTGTGTGGCTTCTCCCTGGCTCTCCCGGTGCTGGGGGTGCAGACACTTGCTCACAGACACACCCTGAGGGGCTTCTCTCCACCAAAGCAGTGAGGGAGGGAAGCGCGCCTGCTCCCGAGAGGCAGGACACCCACAGGCGACTTCTCGGGGGTGGGGGCCCAGGGAGCCCAAGTTTCCCTCGTGAATGCCTCATGTATCCCTATTTTCCAGCTATGGACGGGGCTACACATTGCTGGCGTGACAAGCAGAGCCCAGGGTGTACCCCTCTGCCAGGAGGATGGGCTGACCTCGCCATGGGGTCCCAGCCACGACCACGCGGCTACCAGCCCCTGCCCCCCCCAGCCCTGTAAGGAAACTCTGGGGGACCTCGAGGTGGTAGTCGGCCTGGAAGCCTCTTCAGAGACCCCTGGGACTGGATGCCTGATCAGTCTGCGCCCAAGCTTCTTTGAAAGCTTCGGAAAGAGCTCAGAGAGCTCACGGCTGAGGCTGAGAGGCCAACTCCCTTCCCTGCAGAGGCCCCTCCGGGCTGGGAAAGAGCTTCGGGGCACTCCCCTAGGCAAGCAGGGGCCTGCAAAGGCTGCTCCCCCTGCGTCTGCACTGCCCCCCGCCTTTGCTGCTTCTAGGGGTTCCCTGATAGAGTCTTGAGGCCTGCCAGCCCTGGGGGCCTGAGCTTGGGGGAGAGAAGGACTCCCCCGCCCTCCAGGGCCATTTTGAGCCCGGAAGGAAGAGCCGTTCGCAGCATCAGGAAGCCAGGAGGCATATGATGGGAAAAGCAGCTGCTCCTCGCACGGCCAGGCTCGCGGGCAGGTGACCCCGGTCATCACACCCTCCCCTGCCCCATGGGGACAGTCCAGGAAGAGGCCCTGGTGCCCTCTAATGAGGTGCTTTTGCTGCAAACCAAAGCCAATGGCCATGTGACCAAGGCTCAGAGAAGATCAAGCTGCCCCAAGCCACCCTGGGAGGGGGTGCCTAGGGCTACACATGCCACCCCTAGCCCCTGAATCAGGTCTGTTTACCAGCTGTGCCCCACAGTGTCCCACACAGCTGCAGGCGGCAGGGCACCCCGTCCCTATTCCCCAGGCGAGGAAACAGGCTGAGAGGGTCCCTCCTTGTGGCCACACTCTGGCCAGCTGCAGAGCCGGGAAAGTGCCGCCAGCTGCTGGGGCTCCTCCCATGAGGCTTGGGCAGCTCCAGCACCCACTGGGCCCGGTCAGTGTCCTCAATGCCCACCCCCTTCCGTCCTCCCAGGCACAGGTGGGGATGGGGCTGAGTGAGCGCCGGCCGCCCTATGTGGGAAAGGCCTCTCAGGCCAACATGCGGGTTCAGACCCCTCCTCCGAGACCCCCCAGACCAACCAACTCACTGTGTGTCCTTCGAGCTCGAAGGTCTGCTCTGCGGGTGGCAGCCGGCAGGGCTGCTGGGCCTGTGTGGTGTCAGGGGACATGGGGAGGGCTCCGGCTTCAGGCTTGTCTCTAAGCTTCCCTCCCAAGTGGCCTTGACTTTGGGGCCGGGACCCTGTGAGAAACAGGAGAGCCTGGCAAGGCCGCCTCCGCCCATTCCTCCTCGGAAAAGCCGGCGCTGGGCTGCATGTGGCAGTGGCCGCGGTGCTGGTACGGTGCCCCGGCCGCTTGCTCCCCCTTGGGATGCCAGGCTGAAATGGGGCCTCCCCTTTGAGCAGGGGTCCTGCACTCCCACTGAGAGGTGCGGATGGGAGGCCCAGAGTGAGAAGTCTTTGCCCAAGGCCAGCCGGAGACCCCCACGGCCAGCCCTGGGAGTTGGAATCAGGTTGCTGGGGTCCCGTTCTGCGGCCCAGCCTGGAGCAGATGCTTCAGACAGCTCATATCATTCTCTCCTCGCCCCCACCCTCCAAGTGAGCCAGCCACCCTCCCCACGTTACAGAGGAGACGCACAGGTCAGGGAGACACACAGCTTGCCTGGAGATGGTCCCCAGCCTCGTCCACACAGCTCCCCAGTCAGCTGGTGGACATGGGAGCAGGAGGGGACAGTCCCCCACCCTCATCCACACAGCTCTCCACTCTGTCAGCCGGAGGACATGGGAGCAGAGGCCTCCCTCCAAGGACGCAGCTGCTGCTTGGGGTCCCCAACGGGCTGGCCTCCCTGAGAAGCTCCCAGCCACACTCTCCTTCCTGCCTGTGTCCCACGAGATGCCCAGTCCTGCTCATCCTCCCGTCCCATCCACTGCTGCCCCCACCTGAAGACTGGCTCTGCTCTAGGGCCTGGCCAGGACCACCCCATCCAGGAAGTCTCCTAGGCCCCCCAGCTGTGGCCCCTCCTTCCCTCCATTGCCCTGCCCCACCCCACCCTCCCAGCAAGTCAGCCTGGGGCCACAGGCATTTTTACAAGGGACTTGCAAGATCCCAGGAAGCGGCCAGGGTGGACAGCATTTCCTGGGCTGAGCCCCAGCACAGGTGAGAGCGCTCACCTGTGGCAGCTTGGCCTGGGCCTGCAGCTCGAGGAAGGGGAGGGGGTCCACGGGCCTCAGCGTGAGGGGGACGTCCACAGGCCTCAGCGTGGGGGGGATGTCCAGTCTTGGTGTGGGGGGGACCTCCATGGGGCTCGTCGTTGGGGGGACATCCGCAGGCCTCGGCGTCGGGGGGACGTCCAGTCTCGACGTGGGGGGGACGTCTGTGGGCCTTAGTGTGGGGGGGATGTCTGAGGGGCTCCGGGTAGGGGGGACATCCGTGGGGCTCAGCGTGGGGGTGACATCTGCAGGCCTTGGCGTGGGGAGGGCGTCCTCGGGCCTCGGCGTGGGGAGGGAGTCCGAGGGCCTCGGCGTGGGGAGGTCATCCTCGGGCCTTGGCGTGGGGAGGTCATCCTCGGGCCTCTGGGTGGAGACATCCCTCTGCTGCTGCAGGAGCCGCGTCCTGTCTCGGTGCCTGAGCAGCTGCATGTGCCACAGGTATCGGATTTCCCTCTGAGGCGGGTGAAAGGAGCAGGTGTTAGCAGAAGCCGGAGCCAGCAGGGGAAAAGGCCAACGAAAGGGAAGGGGAATCTGGCGGGATGCCTGGCCTTGCACTGTGGGGCCTCCCTTTCCCTCCCGTTGGTCTTTGCCCACCCCTCCTGCCGGGCCTAGGATACCCCCGTGGCCTTGGGCTTCCCTGGGCTTGGTGGAGGAGGCAGCTGCGGACGGCGGGATGCGGAGGGAGGCAGGTACTCATATTCGGGGCCTGAGCAGGGCTGGCACAGGCTGCCAGGGCCTCACCCTCCCTCTCTCCAGGCTCTGGGCAATGCCCCCACCCTGTCGCTCCTTTTACTACTGTTCTCTCTGTTCCCCACAGCGTCCCTGGTGGACGTACCTTTGTAACCTTGCACAGAGCCCAGGCCAGGCCCTTGCACACCCGCCCTGTGAGATGGCAGCTGCATCACTGAGAGGGGAAACCGAGGCTCTGCTGAGGGAGTTTCTCATCCACGGCCCCACTGGGGAGGCTCAGACCCCACCTCCACCACGGCATCTCTGCCTACGACAGCCTGGCTACGGCTGGGTGTCCCTGGGTGTCCCTGCCCCTGGCCAGCTCTAGGCCTCCTGCCTGGGCTCCCTGGGCAGGACCTGTTCTTCCAGGCTCCCTCCTTGCCAGGCGACAAGTGAATCCCCTTCTAAGCCCCTTTATTTCCACGGCTCTCACTGTTCCCTGCGGTGCCTGCCTTTTTCTGTTTCCCTGTATCCGAGAGGACCCGTGCCTGGGTCTGTGGCTGGGTCTCCACCCCCAGCTCCCTTGCCTGGGACGCCTCCCACCTGGCACCCCAAGTCCCAGTGTGTATGGGGCATCCAGGGTAGGGTGGGGATCCCGGGCGTTCCAGTCAGCACACCCCCACTTCCCCAAGGAGGGTCCTGGGCGCAGTAAGTCCCCCACCCCAGCCTCAGTTTCTTTTTTCTTTTTTTTTTGAAACAAGGTCTCACTCTGTTGCCCAGGCTGGAGTGCAGTGGTGCAATCTCAGCTCGCCGCAGCCTCGACCTCCCGAGCTTAAGCGATCCTCCCACCTCAGTCCACCAAGTAGCTGGGACTACAAGCATTGGCCACCTGTAGTGGCAGGTTCATTTTTTGCAGTGATGGGGTCTTGCTGTGTTGCCCAGGCTGGTTGCACATTCCTGGGCTCAGGCAATCCTCCCGCTTCGGCGTCCCAAAGTGCTGGAATTACAGGTGTGAACCGCCTCACTCGGCCAGGTTTCTTGATTTGTACCGAGGGTGTTGGCACCAGCCCCTGCCCCACAGCCTGGGGACACTGAAGTGAGGATGCAAGCACAGCGGGCCTGACCTGTGAGGAGCCCTCGAGCTGTGACCTGAGCGGGGGCCGGCAAGGGTCCTCGCCCTGGCTCTCAGGCTTGCTCCCCAGTCTCACTCTCCGCTGCAAGCACAGCCCTGACTCAGGCAGGTGTCCCTCTCCACACGTGCGCCCAGTACTGACCGTCCCTGGGGCTCTGCTTCCTCCAGGCCTGGTGACAACAATGGCTGGAAGGCAGGAGCAGCCACTGACCGAGACCCACCCTGCCAGGCGCGTCTGGGGAGTAGCCCGCTCCACCCTCACGGCCCCCATGTGTGTGCACATCAGGTTTCTCATTTTTCAGATGAGGAAACTGGGCTTGGAGCAGAGGGGAAAGTCCTCTGACGTCGTACACGGGCATACATCCACCCGGGGAAGTGCTGGCTGCACCAAACTCTCCCAAAACCCTGCTTACAGGTACTACAATTATTCTCCTGTCCCAAGAGGAAACTGAGCCTCCAAGAGACAAAGCCACTTGCCCAAGGTGACATCCAGCAAAAGTCTGAGGTTGGCCTGGAGCCAAAGCCACAGGGCCACCATCCACCGTGGCTATGATTCCACAGACACTCCTTGTATTCGGGGCCAAGCTCCGCCCTGGCCGTGATGCCCCCTCAGGCCGTAGACACTCCTCCTGTACTGCAGGGTCCTGTGTGGCCCTGGAGGGTGGCAAGGGCTTGGGAATTCTTTAGCTGTGGTGCTGGGGGATATTCAGATTTCAGGCAAGAAGAGGACAGGGCCGCCACTTCTATGTGCTGCCTCCCCCAACCCGACAGGCCTGTGCTGCCTCCACCTGCTCCTTCTCGAATCTGCTGAGGGCTTGCTGCTGCTTCTCCACCAGCATGGCCAGCTGGGCTCTGTCCCTCTTGCTGTCCAGGCACCTGGGGGAGGTGGCAACATCACTGCCAATCTTGACAGCCCGTGCAAGTGGATATAGAAAGTCACAGACACAGCCAGCCCTGGTCGGCCACATCCACCTGGAATGCTCTCCCAAGGTGTGGGCACTGGGGAGGAGGCGGCCGAGTGTGGACAGGATCAGCAGCCTTGGGGTGGCCAGATGGCCCCAGGCCGGGCTGTCACTCTTCCATCCTTCACAGCCACTTTTGGACTTTTGGGTCTAAAGAGACAAAGCCTGAGAGGAGCCCCTCCCACCCCGGAGACCCAGCCCAGGCCGGTGGGTCCTCTGGGGGAGGTGGGGGTCACCTCCCATCATGGAACACAACACCCTCAGCCTGGCCGGCTCAGACACCGGGTGAGGACGTTAACTGGAATCACCTTTCTGGGGACCAATCTGGCATTATCAAGAGGCTTCCAAATGCATTCTCACTGACACGGTTATCCCACTTCTGAGGTTTTACCTTAAGGAAATGATCTCTCCATGGTCATTAACAACGGCCAAAAGTTGGGAGACAACCCAGAACCCCGAGACCCGGGACAGGCTAAGGGAGTTGGAGCCCCGTGTCGCCGCGGTGCACCCTGTGTGTTACAGCCGTCACGGAGCCACACAGAAAGGTTTTGTAAACGCGGCCCATTTGCAACGTTGCACTAGCCATGCGTTTGTCCCCGAAACAGAGTATGCGCAAAGATGATCTCAGAGGTCATCTTTGGGATGGCGGGGTTTTTGTTTGCTGAGCACTTTACTGCCTTACCTAAGTTTCCGCAAACACCTATTACTATATTATTATTTGAACCAATACCTTTCGTTCCTCAAAACGCTGTCGGGGGCCAAAGGAGGGACCAGGGCGGGGCGGGGCCGCGGAGGGCGGGGCCGCGGAGGGGCGGGGCCGCGGGGCGGGGCCGCGGGGCGGGGCCGCGGAGGGCGGGGCCGCGGAGGGGCGGGGCCGCGGGGGCGGGGCCGCGGGGGCGGGGCCGCGGGGCGGGGCCGCGGAGGGCGGGGCCGCGGAGGGGCGGGGCCGCGGGGGCGGGGCCGCGGGGCGGGGCCGCGGAGGGCGGGGCCGCGGAGGGGCGGGGCCGCGGGGGCGGGGCCGCGGGGCGGGGCCGCGGGGGGGGGGGCCGGCGCTGGGCGCATGCGCTCACCCTCGCCGATGCTCCAGCAGGGCCAGCTCCGCGAGCGTTTTCTCCCGGAGCGCCATCTCGCGCAGGCGCAGCAGCGCGGCCTGGTGCTGCGCTCGCCGCTCCTCCTCCCGCAGGCTCCGCTCCCGCTTCTGCAGCTTGAAGCGGCCCAAGGCCCCTAAAGCTCCAGGTTCGGCGCTTCCGGGCCTCGCGGGGCTCCACCAGGGCGGGCCGATCGACCGGGCCTTGTCACTGCCTAGCTTCTAAGCCGCTCCCCGCTCAGGCCGCCGCCTCCGAGAAGCCCTCTCGGACTGCCCGCCCCGCTCGTCCCCCATGCCGCGCCCGTCCTTCCCCGACTGTAAGCTCCCGGGGCAGGCGGGGCAGGCAGGATCCTCATCATCTCGGCCTCGGCCCAGCCCTGATCCAAACACCTGCCCTAAAACGTACAACCTGGGCGGGGGTAAGTCTGCCCAAAGCCGCACGTTGAAATGCCTGCCCTCCTCTGTCACCCAGGGCGGGAGGAACGGGCTTGGGAAGCTGTCAGCTGGAAGACCGGGCGGAAGACCCGCCCAACACAGGACCTGCCTTGGCGCTGCGCAATGGAGGGACAGTTGGGTCCAGCTGGGCCCTGAAATTGTGCCCCTCCCCCAGGGACCTCTCCACGTACCTGGTGGGCGGGGTTGTCCGGAGGGACGAGCTTGGCCAGGGACAGCTGGGAGAGGGTTCCGTCAGGGCCCCCCACCTCTGAGGAAGGAGGCACCATGGTTGGGTCATGTAGGGGGTCAGGGACCATTTCTACAGGAGGGCCTCACGATAGGAGGTCTACGGCAGCTTCATGTCCCCACCCCCTCCCGGACACACAAGGCTTCACACAGAATCTTCAGGAGACCACGCGGGAAGGGACTGGCAGTCTCATGTGACCCACCAATCGTGGGAAAGACTAGACCAAAAGTGGAGGGAGCTCAGGGAGGACAGCCCAGCGGCTCTGCTTCTACAGGAGGGGAGACTGAGGCCCGGAGAGGGGGAAGGGCTGTTTGCGGTCCAGCACCAAGGAGCAGCTGGCAGGTGACCGCAGAGCCCGGATCCCCAGCGGAAGCAGCCACCCTGCTGCTGGCCGCTGCTGGCCACGCTTCCGTACCGGGAGGGATGGAAAAGGAGACTTTACTTCAAAAGACACTTACAGACTTGCCCTCCCAACAAAGAGAGAGCAAAAGGGAGTGGATTTCGGCTTTGCCATCCCATCTGCCACAAGTAAAAAAAATCACATAAATATACACACACATAGGTGTGGTTACATAGATACACGGGTGTGTGTATGTATTTTCACACACATATATGAAAGAGCAGTTTTCCAGACACTGGACGTGAGGCAGCATAGCACAGTGATCCTGAGAGACAGAAAACAACGGAGGTGAGACCAACGTACTGCCAGAGAGAGTTGCTAAGCCACGTGCGGGGAGGGGAAGATGGCGGAGCTGGTGGACTCCCTGAGTAGAGTAGACAGAGTCCAGGGTCTGGGGGACCAAGGCAGCTGGAGTTCATGGGGGCAGAATGTCAGAGAGGAGAGGGTCACACAGGAGAGGGCCTCCCAGATCTAGGAAGTGTCCCCTGGAATATTCATCAGAGAACTGATGGAGGGATGTGCACACCCAGAATCTACCAGAGACCGGGACAGAAGCATCCGAAGGACCAGAAGCCTGGGAATGGCGCCTGTTTCCAGTAGCCAGGCTGGAGGACCTCAGGACTGCCAGGTCACTGGCCAGGCAGTGGACACAGAACATTCTTGCCTTGACTGTGGGAAATAATTAGCCCCCGGCTGAGCACTCATCCAGAGCAAGTTAACACACTATTAACACAAAGCCTGAAAGGATCAAATTACTTCTAAGTAACTGCATTCCAAAACAAAACTTAAGAGTGTTTACAGGGTGGAGTGCTGGTGGCTCACACCTGTAATCCCAGCACTTTGGGAGGCTGAGGTGGGCGGATCCCAAGGTCAGGAGATCGAGACCATCCTGACCAACATGGTGAAACTCTGTCTCTACTAAAATACAAAAAATTAGCCGGGCGTGGTGGTGGACAACTCTAGCCCAGCTACTCGGGAGGTGAGGCAGGAGAATCGCTGAACCCAGGAGGCGGAGGTTGCAGTCAGCCGAGATCGCACGATTGCACTCCAGCCTGGGTGACAGTGCGAGACTCCGTCTCAAAGAAAAAAAAGGGGGGGATGTTTATAGGAATACAAAAATATCTAGTGCTCAGAAGGTAAAATTCACAACGTCAAAATATGCAAAGGAACCAAAAACCTCAGTCCCTAATGAGCTGGGTAGTTCACTGACACTGACCCAGGCTTGATGTGGGTGTGAGGATTGGCAGAGGAGGAGATGAGAAGTTTCATAACTGTATCCCACATGTTTAAGATGTTAAGGAGGGCCACAGAGGGTATAAAATGAAAAGATCCACATGGAATGTACGAACTGATGACAATTAGAACACTTGAGATGAAGAACGCACTGGATGAGATTAAGGGCAGAGGAGAGACGAACAAACTGGAACGTACAGCACTAGAAACTGGCCAAAAAGAAACAGAAATAAAAGAATAAGAAGAACTTCAGTCAGCTCACAGCTTCAGTTGGCATAATATATAGGTAATTGGAGTCCCTGAAGGAGAGGCGAGAGAAAGAGGAGCAAAAAGAACAAATGGTGGCTGAACTATTTCTGAATTTGAAGAAAATGATAAATCCACAGGTCCAAGAATCTCAACAAACCCCAGGGACAAGAAACTCCGGGCGCAGTAGCTCGTGCCTATAATCTCAGCACTTTGGCAGGCTGAGGTGGGCAAATCACCCGAGGTCAAGAGTTCAAGACCAGCCTGGCCAACATGGTGAAACCCTATCTCTACAAAAATACAAAAACTAGCTGGGCATGGTGGCAAGTGCCTGTAATCCCAGCTACTTGGGAGGCTGAGGCACGGGAATCACTTGAACCTGAGAGGCAGAGGTTGTGGTAAGCTGAGATTGTGCCTGTGCACTCCAGCCTGGGCAACAGAGACTCAGTCTTCAATAAATAAATAAGAAGAAAAACAATAACAAATGACATCGTAATAAAATCGTTCAAAACCAGTAACAAAGAGAAAGTCTTAAAGGCAGCCAGAGAAACGCAGACACAGTGATGTACCGAAGGACCAAGGAGGAGGATGGCAATCAATTTCTTGTCACCAACAATACAGGCAAGAAGATGAGGAGCAGTGTCTTCAAAGGGCTGAAAGGGAAAAAACTGGCCTGGAATTCTACGTCCAGGAAAGAGTACGTCGAAGTCGGAGATGAACTGAAGATGTCCTTAGAGATACAAAAGCTGAAGACCAGCAGACAGACACACAGTACCAGAGATGTTCAGGCAGCCTTCCAGCGGGAGGAAGAGGAAGCCACTTAGAAACCTAGATCTACCCGAAGCAATGACAGATACCAGAAATGGGAAGACCTGACCCATGCAGATGTCAGTCCAAACACCTACATCATTTGAAACTTTTAACGAGATAATTGGCTGTTAAACAAAATGGTAACAATGTACTACAGAGTTTATAGAACATTTAAAATAAGACTGGGCAACATGGAGAAACCCTATCTCTACAAAAAATACAAAAATGGCCAGGCATGGTGGCGCATGCCTATAACCCTAGCACTTTGAGAGACCGAGGCAGGTGGATCACCTGAGGTCAGGAGTTCGAGACCGGCCTGGCCAACATGGTGAAATCCCATTTCTACTAAAAATACAAAAATTAGCTGGGTGTGGTGGTGCACACATGTAATCCCAGCTACCCAGGAGGCTGGAGCAGGAGAACTGTTTGAACCTGGGAGGTGGAGGGTGCAGTGAGTAGAGATTACTCCACTGCACTCCAGCCTGGGCGATGAGAGTGAGACTCCACCTCAAAAAAAATGCATGACAGCAGTAACTTAAAGGTCAGGAAAGAAGAACTGGCCTCGTACTATAAGTGATCAGCTGAATATACTATTATAAACCCTGAAGTAGCCACTAAAATCACAGTTATAGCTCCGAAGCCAACAATGGAGTGAAAGCAGAATCATAACAAATATTGTTTCATGCAAGGGGAGCAGAAACTAAGTGGAAGAAGAAAATAAAGGACAGATGGAACAAGAGAAAAATAACCAGGTGAGACTCCAGCCTGACCACATCAGCCTGAATCACTTTCGGCGTGAATGCGGTTGCTTGGAAGAAATCTGATCCTTACACTTAAGCGCCCCAATTAAAAGGCAGAGATTGCCAGGCTGATTTTTTTTTTAAAGCAAGATCCAACTATAGGCTGCCTGTAAGAAACATACTTGAAATGCAAAGATGCAAACAAATTGAAAGTAAAGGATAGCAGTGGAGATACCACGAAACACCAGCTGAAAGAGGGCTGGCATGGCTGTATTAACATCAGCCAAAGTCGACTTGGAAGCGAAGCGTACTGCTGTGGATAAGAGGATGGCTGCAGGCTGGGCGCAGTGGCTCACGCCTGTAATCCCAGCACTTTGGGAGGCCGAGGCGGGTGGATCACGAGGTCAAGAGATCGAGACCATCCTGGTCAACACGGTGAAACCCCATCTCTACTAAAA